AAGACTGGACTGGGGCCTAAAGGTGTTAAACCTTTCCCCCAGTATAACAGGAGGGCTGTTATATTAATTAGTACTTTATCATTAGTGAAGTCAATATGCAATTTACAGAAATGTGATTCAGTCATAATGTACTGGAGTCCATCTGTTCTTTCACAGCACTGCAACGCTAGATCAAGAAGTAAGATATTTTTATTTCTTTTTCAAATTGTCAATAATGATTATAATGACTGATTGCTCAGTCTTTATCTGGGGCACATTTTAATAATATCCCAAGTAAATACCACATGACTATGTCTTCTTCAAAGCTGTACTAATCAACTTTTTTATATTAACAATGGATCAAATGGCTACATAATGATGTAATGTGAAAGGGATCACAAATAATTATCACCTAGCTCGGCAGTTGCCCTCAAAATGAAAGATAAAAAAGAAAAATACGAAGCTTTTTAACATCTCTTAGCTCTTTTGGTTTTATGACTTGCAACTTTACTGTTTGGTTCAGTCTCACCACGCTATCATCAGCCCTCCTTCCAGAAGCAGCAAATCCTCTGATGGAACCACAGTACATTTAGCAACTAAAAATCCACAGTAGATATGTCCCTCAGGAGTTAGTGGAGGGCAAAACAGCTAGACTAGAACTAGAAGAAGAAAATTTGACTTATATTCATGAGGTGGATACAAACATGACTTAGTGAATTCTAATTTTGCTCCTTATCTGCAGGATGTGTAAAAGACAATTGTTCGCAAAGATATTAAGCACAACAACTTAAGGTGAGGATATGTCAGTGTTGTGTTTACTGCTTTGTCAAAAGTGGCCAAAAATCAAGCAATGCTGCTTAAACTGTGCTTCTGCGTATGATACTTATTTGCAAAAAAGCATAAAAAATTATATTTATTTGTGCGACAGTCCTTAATACCCCCTTAATTTATGTAAAAATTATGCCCATGAGTCATTGAATGTGCAACTTGAATTCATTGTTCTGACTCATTTGACATTATTGCAGCGTTCTTTTACGCCACCATTGACCGGTGGAAAACTCCATTAATTTTAATGCCACAGTAACAAAGTTCTTCAAACAGACAAAATGTTCAGATGACTCAAACTTATTGAAATACTGAGACTTTTCATTTTCACAATATGAAAGAAGCGACTGTATGAAGCAGCACAGCATGCCTACATATTACAAAACTCCCACTACTGTCTAACTTACATTTGAAAAGGTTATATATCCACAAGAACATGTCTGGTAGATATAGATAGAGTTTTAGTTACAGGATGTTGTAACATGTAGCAGAGATGTGGCCTGATTCAGTGGACGTCCTTGGAGCCTAGAGAATCACTATAATCTCAGCATCTCTATCCTATTTAGAGAGATGAGATCAGTGGACAAAGAGAAGAGCCGAAAGAGGCTGGTTGATCTAAAGAGGGTTTTGCTTCATTTTGGATATCCTGTTTAGGATGGTGGATTTATAGAGGCTTACACCACTGCAAAGAAATGTGTGTGTGGACGGGTAAGGGGTGTATAGTGGGTGGAGGGGTTGGGTTCATGACAGGGTATCCCACTATCAGCACTATCAGTCCTCCCGAGATCTCATTATTCACTGCTCAAGCTGACTACATCATAACAAACACCAAGTGGTCAAACATTTGGACATGCATGTAAAAGGTCCATTATGTGAAAAATAAAATAAATCACTGAAAGCTACAGGATAAAAATCCATATGAAATGATAAAAGAGACATTGTGAGAATAAAAACAAGGAGATAGAAATATAGAATATATAAGACAGAGACTTCCAGATTGTGAGGTTGTCAGAGGGGCAAGAATTGAAGAGGTGAAGCAACAGTTTTTGGATGGTTGGCTCGAGTCCTGGCTGCTGATTGATCTCCAGGTGACAGCCGGTGTCGGGGGCCCTCGGCCAGGCTGTCATTCCCTCTCGCTCTCCCACCCTCCCGCCCCCTCTCATCTCATCGCTCTGTCGCTCTCTCTTTCTCCCACACTGCTTTTTAAACTCGCAGTTGTGCCAACTAATATCTCACCTTCTTCTCTCTCCATTGATTCAACTTCTAGCTCTTTCTCTCTCTCTGCCCTCCTCATCGTCATTCTGCTCCTCCAACCTTTTCACCCCTTCAATGGTGACAGTTGGTTTCTCCACTGCTCTGTTCTACCCTCCAACTACTCCTTTTGGTCCCCCACTGTTGGGAACCAACTGTCCTCTACCAGGCAATGTCCATTTCACACCACCTATTTAGTATGCAAGACAGCATAATTGCTCATGTGGAGGGATTTAGTCTGTGTTTGTGTCCGACCGTGTGTGTGTTTGTGTGTGTCGGTGTCTGTGCCCTGAAAGCCTATGAACGCAGCACATTAGTTTTCTTCAGACATAGCCTAGGGATATTTTGGTGACCTTGGTCTTCAGTGAGTATGTGCGTGTGCTGCTCAATTATAGGGTTTCATTTTCCTGTGTATGGGTGTGCTCATGCACTCTCTAGCTTGTTCGTGCTTGTGCTCACGTGCGTATGCACATGCGTACGTACAGGCACCCTTGAGGGGCATGTGTAATGATAGGCTCGTTTGCACAGCTCTGCTTCTAATGATCTATTAAAGTACACTTAGCCAGTAATTATATGGCCAGTCCCAAAAGGCTTATGAGGCCCCACAAGGGATAACTAAAGATGCAAGAAGACTATAGAAAAGCCAATGTGTTTTATCTAATGCACAGGAATCAATGATATCATGGCCTTAAGTTTGTGATAAATAAATAAATAAATAAATAAATAAAGGATATCAAATTAGAACATTTTCCTGATGCGATCAAATAGGAGGTTCAAATTAAGATAGAGATTAAGTGTTCCTCAAGCTTTACTGAGGAACACTTAATCTCACCCTTTTAGACTTCTTTTTCTTAAAAATCGTAAAACACAAAATCAAGGGAGCCAGGCTATCAGTTTCACTGGATTACTGTATGTTTTTCAAAATCAGTAATAGTTCTAAAGAACAGACTGCCTCTTCTCTAACAAGATCATTATCCTAGTCATTAACAAGAATTGTCTACTAAAGTTCAAGAGCAGCTAGCAGCCCCTCAGTTCTTTTTCTGCCTTAAATAAAGTTAAAAAGATTCTCCTTGTCCTCTTTCTTTTTGCAAAACCTGCATTCTCACACATTTTGTCATCTTTGTGGTTTAAAAGTATCGTTATTACCTGTAGGTTTTTTTACAGCATAAGACAGTTTTTGTCTGGAAAATGCAGTCCATAAGCACAAATATCATTTTTGTCTGTTGTTTATAACTATCTTACACACATCTTCCCACCTTTCCACTCCCTTTGCCGCTCCCTAACCCTCCCTATCAGCTCTCTTGTGATGTCCTAGTAGCTCACCTCGAGCCCTATGTCGACCTTCACCACATTTACCTGGAATATATTTGTTACCAGAGCTTGTTTTTAACATGCAGGAGAGGTGCCCTTGTTGAACGCTGTAGCATAGCTAAACATGTGGGATTTCCAGGTTTCTGGGAGGTTGGCACAGGGGATAATAGGCCTCCCACTCAAAGTCAATATCCACTGCTTCCTCCTGCCCTTGCTCTCCTCTGCTCCGAGTCTGCATCAGTGCACTGGTGTCTTCACACTGGAGTGACTCATGCTCGGTCTCCTCTTGGTCTGAGAGCTTTTTCCACCTACCTGCTTATCAGTTATTTAATTCACTGACCTATTCACTCTTTTTGTCTGAGCGTCCATTATCTGATTTGCCTAATCCCCTCTCATCCATTTTCGCCTTACAGATGAAAAAGGACATTTTTTTGTCTTTCATTTTTCTGTTGTGGCATAGCCGTGACTTAGACTTTGTAAGCTTTGATATCTCCGGGAGCCAGTCAAGATGTCCCTTTGGTTGACTAAAATATGTGCTTGCTTGTTTCTTAAAAACAAGATTTTGGTCTAATCCTTAAAGCCGGTACCACATGAGGTGGGTTCCTGCATGGCAAAAGGAAGTGTAGAAAGTTAGCAGCTTTTATTGTTTTCAGTTGAAATATGATTGTTTTCCCACCAATTCTGGCTTTTATATCTCACTTCTCTTCTACTTGTCTTTCCAACCTGTTGACCGTTGTAACCCTTATACATGGACATATGCATGGTCCTATTTGTTGTCCCTGTTCTCTGCTCTGCCTACACCTTCGGCCTCGTTCCTTTCACATCCTGCCTTTTTATTTTCTACCTCAGTCTCCTTTCTACCACTCACGATTCCCTCCAACCCCTCTTATCTTCAGAGTCCCTGGCCTTGGTGACAGACAGACAGGTACTGGGCTTGGTCAGGCTGTCATAAGTTGGATGGCACAACGGGCTGCCAGGCGAAGGCTGCCACCTGAGGGGGTACTAGGTTCTGACACCTCTATTAACCTTCAGGAGATGTCCATCCCCCGTCACACCCCCACCTCCTCTCCTTCCTGCTCTTCCTCATCTCTATCTCCGCCTGTCCCCTGTCTGCTGTACCCCAGGCGGAGAAAAACCTGCTTGTCCCAGAGCAAAAGAGCCAAATAACAAATACCTGTATTTTCATCTCTTCCCAACCTGAAGCATTTCAATATGCTATGGATTTCTATCTCACTTTCTCAATTATCCAGTCTGTCTCAGGCTCTTTCTGTCTTTCTCTAGTTCCAGCCCCTACTGCGATCCAGTATTCATACAATGACCTGTATGTCAAGATATACATATGGCCAGTGGCAAAATGCATGATTTTGTGCAGTGATGCATAGTTAAATGGTGGAAATGAACAAATCGCTACAGCTTTCTCATGTCAATTAACTGGAATAATGGAAGTTAATGAAAACCAAATGAGACAGATTAAATCAGATGTAAACATGTTTGATTAACACATGCCCTTTTTACCTTGACAATAATCCAAATATTATTTGGTGTTATTTAAAACCGATAATAGTGACAGAATCTGACAGCCCACATGTTAGTCAGCTGCATTCAGTCTTTTCTCTCTCATTTTTGCCCTGCAGGAATTCTCTTTACTCCGACTGGACGATGTGGTGGACCAACGAGTGAACATCGTCGGTTTTTCAGTCTTCAACAAAACTCATCCCTTCTTCCAGGATTTTGTGCTCAGCCTCAACCGCTCCTGGCAAGAGAACTGTGATCACGCACCCTTCGCCGGCACTCCAGTTAGTACACACAACCACACACGATCTCACAGACAGAAAAGATCAAGGTTACCAATCTAAGAATTATAGATTAACCCTTTTTATTTATTCCCCTTACCAAGCCCAAACAGGTCCTTCTAAAAGCATTACTTTTCCAGTTATACGGCTGTATCTCAAGCTGACCAACTAAAACACTGAAGTCACTTAGACACAAAAATGCCTCTGAAATATACAGAGATGACATTTATACAGTTAGTTGTAATTGTAGGTGTTGCTGGAGGCAGTTGTTGTTTCCTAGACAGCTCATTAGCAGCGCTTGGTACTCTCCTTATTACATTTATAATGGCATCTTCCTTGTTAAATTTGCTTCAGAGGAAATGCAAGGCAAAAGAGCACCCTACATTCACAGCGTGGTCCCTTAAATCGCCCACTGTTTTCATCTAAACAATGTTTGTTGCTCAACATTTAACATATTTTGCTCTATGCATTTGAATGAGTCACCAGGCTACTGTTTACATACGAAGAACCGAGGACTGTTGGAGAACCTCAAAAAAGGAGATAGATCATTTGCTTCATGCTGCCTCAACAGTTTTATTTTTTACATTTGAGCCAACCATACTAGAAAAATTGGCCCTCATGCTTGAGCATTTTTTACTCTCAGCATAACACTCTCAGACCTATTTTATGAGGTAGGCTTATCCGAGTTTTCTACGTCAGATTCAGGAAATAAAATTTTGTAAACGACTTGCATAAACATGACAAATGCCACCTATTTGCAATTGACCACTTGTTTATGAGACTAAAATTTATTAGATTATTATCTGACTCCCCAATAATCCCTCTCAAGGCAAAACTCTCTCACTCATAAAAATGGTATCTGAGAGTAACAAGAAGAACTTCATCACCTATTAGATTGAATTTCTGCTCTCAGAGAGCAGTAAAGAAAAGATTACTGTATTATTTCTTACATGTCAATAGTGGTATTAACTTGGTCTTCACACATAGCATATTAAAATGTTGTTCCATTATTAGTGTTGAAACTAACCAAGCTTAGAGTATAATAATTGTACATATCGTTACATCTTACACTAAAAACAATGTAATATATTTATAACAATAGTGGACATAATAATTATATATTTGTAAGTAATTATGTGAATATGTGAAAGAAACATTCCATCGGTAAACATTTCTACATGAATATACCCATACATATGTGTTAAATAGTATATAAATGTATATATTTGAGCTGAACTTCTTCAAAGTAATTAAAATATCTTATTTCTTCAAAATATGTTGTGAATAATTAGAAATAGCTGCTAACAAATACAACAAAAACCAACAGGAACATCCCATCTGGGTGCAAATAAAACAGGGTTTGCAAATCTTCTTTTTCTTAAGGGCTTCATTAGGAACCAAAAATTCAGTGAAGTCAATTAATGAATGAATCCCTCTCTCTGTTTGAAGCAAATGAAATGAAACAAACACACTCATATATTCACCCATCACCCCCATCTGCTTCGCACAAGCTGGGTGGTAAAACAGGTTAAGAATAGTTTGAACACAGTTTGAAAAAATGTTGTGTTTTGTGCGCAGCAGGTCACTCGAATACTTCTGAGCCTGCAGCAATTAGGACTTGTGACTAATTAGCTAATAACTAGAGAGAATAAAGGCTGATGAAGGCAGAGCAAGAAAGTGATTAACTCATTTAGACATGCACATAGATAATTTGCTGTCTTTTCATTAACAGTAATTAGGTCTGGAGGAAATGTAACTGTAGGGCTCATACATACAAAAAATTAATACAAGTGACCTCTTTACGTGTGTAGAGCTGAAACGTTTTATGCATTCAAAGATAAAGACTTGCACCATGCCAACTGATCATTAAGTTCATCTGAGAAGATGCAAGCAGCTGCATTTTAAGTGGGTATTTTACAGGAGACAAGTTATTGTATTACAAATTATGCTGCCTTTAAATATCTTGCAAAAATCAGCATCAAGCAAAGTAACCATACAGACACACAGCGAGGCCTCATTTGAGACTAAAATATCAGTAGGTACACAACATGTGACTCTATTTGTGTTAGAGAACCTCAAACAAAACCAAAGGCTCAGAGGTTTTAGTTACAGTATTATTTTTTGTAAAACAGGAAATAGTGGAAGCAGCATGTTGCCATATAGAGTGTGGTACACAGGTGGAGTACACCTTTGAAAGAGGACACCTGAAGATTTCTACAAATAACTTTCAGTATGTTATTGGAAAAAAAAGATACATTTTAAGAAAGCAAAACTTCCCCTGAATATTGACATATATATATATATACAATGTAAATATGTACAATGGCTTCTGAAGCATGCAAACCATCACTAAGGTTATTGTCAACAGACTCTATTTGGTGCAATTTTGCCTGTCACTGTATTTCTGTATATCATTAGCTAAGACAATCGTCCTCCTATACAGAATTTATTCTGAGACACAAAAAATTTGATTTAAAAAAGGTCCAGATGTGTTTTACAAGTTATGTAATATTAACTCTCTGATCCCAGCTACTCTGTATGCTACAGAGACAGATAGTGAGCAAACAGAGAGAAAGCAAGAAAGACAGACTTCCAGAGTGAAAGTAAGATGAATAAATGCCACAACGTTATCAGCTTCATGAGATTAAAGTAAAATATAATCGGAAATACTGCTGTAAAATTTTGCCATTCACTTTCAATTGCTGACCTGACAGATTGACTTTATCTGTTCCCACCACCAAGACATTATTCCCATATGTCAAACCTAAAATGCTCGTGGTTATAATGTCTCCACAGGCTGTTTGTGTACACCATATTGCTCTTAATGTGCAATCCACCAATTATGTTACCCAATTCAAGGTGGTAATACATCGCAGTGTTATAGCTTAATGGCCTATTGTAGTTCTCTTTGGTCTCCAAATTTTACTACTTTTATTTATTTTTTTTCTTACTTTTATCACAGTCCTAGCCCTCTATCAATATCCACCAAACATCAGGGCCATTTCATTTCTAGTTCCATTACACAGATGTACGGCAGTGAAGCTAGCCTCTAATGCAAGGCATCATGCATTTTAATCAAATGTACATAGCAGGATGCAGCGGTAGTGACGACGGGGCTGTTTGTACAGGGGAGATGAGAGGAAAAGCTGCCTCTCCCACTGTTTTCTGGCCCTCGCTGAGAGAAGCAGGCAGTAATTGGAATGGTCAGGGTGTGCCAGCTTCATTGGGGATAAGAGTAGGAAGGACATAGACTCTCCGAGAGACAGAGAGAGAGAGAGAGGGAGAGAAAGAGAGTTAGAGAGAGAGAGTTAGAGAGAGAGAGTTAGAGAGAGAGAGAGAGATAGATGGTTTCAACGCTGTCAGCAGATCAGAGCCTTTCTAATGATCTAATGGAATAATCTCACTGCCACTCTAGGGATGGGTTAACCCCTCACTGACCGTTAACCACTGACATGTTACACTTACAGTTTGTGTGCTTTGAGTTTTTGTAACTTTGTGTGTGTGCATACGTGTGTGTGTGAGAGAGAGAGAGAGAGAGAGAGAGAGAGAGGATGTGAATGCATAATATATTCACCTTCTTCCTCTCCCCCTTCCTCTGCAGCTCTCCTCAGCTCTGCTCTTTGATGCGGTATACGCGGTGGTGGCGGCGGTCCAGGAGTTGAACCGTAGCCAGAATGTTGGCGCCACTCAGCTTTCCTGCAAGTCCTCCAAGATCTGGGAGCATGGCACCAGCCTCATGAATTACCTGAGGATGGTAAGATTGCCTCTGCTGGATGGGATGAAAATAGGCAACAGGACTGACTGCTGTTTAACTTAAAGGAATAGTCTGACATTTTGGGACATTATTATTATTTGCTTTGTTGAGTCAGCCAGCAGTCATACTGTTTAGCTTAGCATAAAGACTGGGAAAAGGGAGAAACAGCTAGCCTGGCTCCGTCTAAAGGTAACCAAATCTGCCTGCCAACACCTCTAAAGCTTACTTACTTACTTACATTTGTATGTTATTATCTGTTGCCGGTAAAAATATTTAAACTCTAAAATATTCTATCAACACGTGGACAGTAAAGCAGTAATGAACATCTCCATAAGCTTGAATATCTAATGTCATCTAATTAATATTGTCATTTCCTGCAAATGAAACACAATAAACAAAAACACACAAAAAAGTTAAATGCTAGCAGACAGTTAGCTTAGCTTAGCATAAAGACTGAAAACACTGGGAAAGAGATAGCCAAGTACTTCTAAAGCTCTATAGCTAACAAATGAACATGTTATTTCTCATTTGTTTAATCTGTACTATTTTTTGGTCGGGCACAGTGACCTCATGGTCTTGTTACCGTGAGGTTGCCAGGCAACCAGCAGAAACTCCAGTAAGTTACTGGCCCCAATAAAAAAAAAAAAAAAA